GGGGGGGGGCTCTTGATATGCCGGGGAGAAAACTAAATCAGTGGCTTCCTGTCTGATATGGTGTTCGTGCAGTCACCAGCGGTAGTCGTGTATAACGTGAAATGCTTCCGGGGGGTGAGTCCCCCGTAGGATGAATCCTACCGCTTGCGAAGCCAAGCACCTCTTCAGGCGTGGTACACACCTCCAGCCGTCAGAAGCTCACGAAAACTTAAGCTTGGCTGTTGAGTAGTTGTTTCGATGTCCGAGGGTCACAGACACAAGCAACATCCGCTTGGAGGGATACGCCCCACCACCGGTGGCACAGAAGCATGCGGCAAAACCACGGGGCCGGCCTCATGTGCCACACCCACCGCCACGGATGTGTGGCAGCCCCAAGGAACGTAACTGCATCCCGTGAAGAGTCACAGGAGACACCGCACAAGAGAGAGCAAAGGCCTCGAAAGAAGGTACTACCGGCGAGAGGTCAGACCGGCAGATATCGGTCAGGAGTGGTGGTGGACTTGGACGCTGGCGAGACTGATTCCAAGCCCCGGGAAAAGGCTGTACTTCCAAGTGCGATTGCGTACATACCCGACGAGTGTGGGAACGTGGGAACTGCTGCGGGTTATACTTCGGCTGTATTCCACACATCTTGTAGACATGTTGTAGCAGCCGTGCCTAGGTAATACGAAGTATATGCGAGGAGGACGTTCAAATTACCTCTGCTCTTTGACTGGCAAATAGTGTGCCCGGGCAGTCTCCAGAAAAAGTAGCTACAGCAGCTGTGGTTGCACACGAGAAAAGGGTGGTACGTATGACACGTCAACACACACCATCGACTGCCTTCCAAACAGGCATGAGAAGAAACAGAAGGAGAGACACCGATAAGATGCTGCGAAGGGAACTCTAGGGATCAAGCACTATACGGATTGTGGGCGGACTTGACCTGGAGGGTGGAATTGGAGGGCGCTTGATCCATCGACGGCGCAAACAGCCCACCTCGCCACACCAATGGCCCTTGCTGTGTGTTTTGCTGTTTAGACTGCACCTCAGGCGCTTCCGGACACACAAAAGCGCCCAATGGAGCGTACGTTCAAGTGCACACCGGAGAGCCCACGAACGCACCAACCCTGCCAATCGTTCCCACGGCTTTCACCGTCTATTGAGTGATCTCGCGCTGTAAGACAGGTTGATCCACACCCACTGATGATGCTGCCGTAGTGGAGGACGGCAACAGCAAGCAACGTTTTCCCCACAGCAGTACAGACACAACGTACCCGCACGCTAGTCGCCAATCAGCACCGCCATACCCTCAAACAAAAGAGTTGCCTGACATATCTACCGACGTTGTGGGTGTGATGTCTTCCTTGTTCAGTCTGGTGGCAAGAGAGCGAGCACGAACTGCTGCGGCGAAGCAAGTGGTTGCTGCTCTCTCCCCTGCTGTGTGGTGTGTATTGGACAACCATCAATGGAAATAACATGACCTCAAAAACGGCCACACACACAGCATCTCCACATCAGCAAAATCCCTCCGGAGTATCCCACACACAATGGGGCCAGACCCACTCACCATGGTGCTAGAGCTAGGTGCTGTCCTGCCGCCGGCTGTGAACCGTGAGGTGTTCCCTCTCGCACCAAACACATTTTTTTTTTCGGATGCTCCCACCCCCGGTGCTCCCATGATGATAACGCCTCTCAGATTATCTCCAAACCTATGTGGCGTTGACACATCCGCCGCTCTTGCTCTGCCTCTCTGCCGTACGCCGTACGGCAACAACATAACCTCTACTGCTGCTGTGTTGGCGTTCACAACTCTCGTCGCCTTGCAGGCAGCAACAACCCAAACTCTAGCGAGATGATCGATATGTGTGTCTGCGAGAGAAGAGGGAGGATGAAACCCAGCGCAGCAGCGAGCAAAAGCATCCTCGTCGCCCTCTTGACGCTGGGTTGCAGTCCTCCGCTCGTCGCCCCGTTCGTGACCCAGCCGCCGCCGAGCAAGCTCCCGCCGACACCAGCGGGAGGCACACACCGCCACTACCACCGCGAGGAGTGCCCTGCGCAGCGGTGGCCGTCTAGCAGCTGCCTGGCGGCAACGGTAGCAGCAGACATGGACGCACTTGCGTCAGGTGAAGAGAGGAACACACCGACGATCGTTTCCGCCGTGCATACCACCATTGCCGCTGCTGCATTCGCCACCGGCGTGCTGTATCGTTATAGATAGGGTGGTAGGGACGATGACATCGTGTTGCCTTCGGGAGGGAATACTTCAACAACGGCTGTGTGTCTGATCGCTTTCATTACTGCTTGACATTGAAAAACATGACCATGGACCGCAACATCAAGGGCTTCTGCTGCTGACACATATATACGTATGCGGCGGGCGTTGCGGAGATGTTACGATAGGGAGCAGCAGGCTTTCGTGAGCCACATGGGCCGATTAACCAACCAGCTCAACCGCAATCACGACGCCTGCTCATATCCGACTTCCATCTTGCCCCTGCCGCTGTTGGTGTAAATTCGTCGCACTTTCTCCTTTCTGGATGCTGTCGGAATCAACAGCAGGGATAGGGTTCGACGATCTCGCCGCTCAGGCTAGCGCCCGTCAGGCGGCGAGGACGCGAAAGCTGGCAAGCGCGACCTCAAAAGAGAACACCAGGACGGACCTGTCAGTGTCGAGTGGCATGAAGGGATGTTGGGATCGTAGCGATGTTTAGGCGGAGCGGTGTGGGTGGAAGGGGCGGGGGAATTTGAGAAGAATGGCGGGTGGTTGATGTTAGTGCCCTTGCTTTAGATGTCGCCCACAGCGGACGTGATGCAACGCAATGCTACACCACCAAAGCTATTTGCCGCATGTCGAACCTGCTGGTAGTAATGCACGCTGCTCTATCACAAAACACCTCGTCGTTGGGTGTTGGAACAGCAGTACACCGGCTGTCGTAGGAGTAAAGACAGAGTAAATTACTATCCACACAGACGCCAAATCTCTGTTCACCTGCTGGTTGACAGACTTGGCAACGCCTTCTCAATACCACTCCAGACCCCTGCAGTGGAATCGAAAGTCGGTCTTGTACAGCAAGCATTCCCAACATTGGGCAGACATCGATTGCCCCCCGTGCGCACAGAAAAGCCAAAACACCACACCCTACGGCCATTCAGCACGAACACATTGGTAGCTGCCCTTGAAACAATTCTTGCTGTGCACAACAACCCACGCGCGCGCGTCATCACATCCCATCAGATTTCGCATGAAAAAGTTCCACCACGTGGAGTTCTACTGTGGGGACGCCACCGCCGCTGCCAGCCGTTTCGTGTGGGGCCTGGGCATGAAGCTCGTCGCCAAGTCCGATCAGGTTCGTTTTGGCCCACGGAATTCGTGGGGACGATTGCAGGGTATTGCCAGAATCACTGCAATATCCGGAATTCGTTGGGAGTAGTGCAGGGCTTTTCCGGAAAAACAACAGTGTTGACCCGGAACTTGTTGGGACGATAGCAAGGTGTTGCCGGAACCACTGCCAATATCATCCCTCGACACGCGTCGCTTCGTCTGTTTGCCCGTTCCACCCTCATTTTATATCGGGTGCATGGCGAAGTTACCCCGCCTCCCGTCGCCCACCGTGTCACCGTTGTGCATGGGACTACGTCGTCCCTCCAGTGATGTGGCTCCTCTTCTGCCTACAGCAGCAGTTCATCGTCTTCCCCTCCCTGTCCGTGGGCACAGTCATCGTCCTCGCGTTGTGTCCGCCCTTGTACGCCACCGTCTCTCTAACCAGCTCTTACCTGTCTGTCTGTCTGTCTGTCTGTCTGTCTGTCTGTCTGTCTGTCTGTCTGTCTGTCTGTCTGTCTGTCTGTCTGTGTCTGCCGGCCTCTCTCTCCCTCTCTCTCTCCCTCCTCGCATTTGCAGAGCACAGGGAACGCCCAGCACGCCAGCTACGTGGTGCAGAGCAACGACCTCCGCTTCGTCTGCACCGCACCCTACTCCCTGGCCACGACGCCAACAACAGAGAGAGGAGCAGGAGACCGACGAGACCCCTCTTCGCGTGCCGTTGAAGTCGGCGAGTCCAGTGTTTCACCGCTGCCGGGCTTCGATCCCGCAGCGGCTCACGAGTTTTTCCGGCGGCACGGGCTCGCTGGACGGGTAAGGGAGGGTTCAACGATATTTTACTCGGCGTTGGTTGTGATGCTATCAAATATCCGGTTGAGAGCTTACTTGGTAGGGTCCCGGCTGTAGCGTACGTGGAATTTTTTTTTTTAAGGTAATGTTTTGTTGCAACCGAACTTTCTTTATTCGTTGGGTGTGTCTCGACGTCGCAGCCGACTTGTTGTCCTCCGGTGGGGTGGAGGACGAAGGTGATACTTTCTTATCCGTTTGCATGTTTGTGTTTGAGCTACGAGTATTGCGAGCACGAACGTGTAATCGACTCAAGCAAGTCGCAAGGACCACGCACAAGTGCAATGCGAAATCACGACTTCCCTTAACAGTCTGTTTGGTAGAAACATATCATGGTACTTTGCTTCTGATGCCTTTTTCGTTCTTGCCTTCACACCGTGTTGCTCGTCAAATCTCTAGCCGGCCCGGCTCCGTGCTGAAAGTTCCTCGTGCCGAGAGATCACCTACCACCCGAGTACTTACCGATTGTGTTTTGCTTGTTGGTCGTCGATTCGGCGCCATCAATTCTACTATTTTGCCCTACCCATGCAGTGACTTCCCTGACGATGCAATGAAGGCACCGCCCGTATCGCACGTGTCCGTGGGTTGGATAATCGATTCGACACCAACAACTTCATATTTTTGCCTTATCGATGCAACGAACTCACAAGCTTGTGTTTGAAACATCGAAAACAGGCGATCGGGATAGAAGTCGAGGACGCGGCCCACGCTTACGAGCAATGCATCGAGCACTGCGGCAGCGACGGCTCTAACGCTAGCGTCCGCCGGCCAACGCGCGTTACCGACGTCGACGGGCGGGGTGGGGCGACGATATCCGAAGTCAGAGCGTACGGAGACGTCGTGCTGAGGTTCATCAGCTTCGAACCGGAATCGAAAATTGTCGGGGAGGGGGACGTAGGCGGAGACAAACATGGTGGTGATGGTGGCAGGTTCGAGGGAGCCTTCTTGCCGAACTTCGTGGATATCGAGGGCGAGGAGGCGCGGGAGGATTTCGGGCTGCAGCGGGCGGATCATATCGTAGGGAACGTGTGGGACATGCTGAAGCAGGTGAGGGCGTCGGCAGTTTTTCTGTGTCACAGTTTGGAAGGCATGGTTTGCATTTGGTTGGGGGGGGTCTTGCCATTGGTTTTGGAACTGTTGAAAACGCAGAGAGGCTTGTGAGATATGGGGTGATTAATCCATTTAGACACAGACAGGGGGGGTCTTGCAGTTGGTATCGGAGCTGTTGTAGACGCGGGGAGGTTTGTTGTTAAAAGGCTGTTCCATTTAGACTACTCAGTCCACCGCTGACTGAGTGATTTAATAGTTTAGCCCTTACCTAATTGCAGATATGGCTCTTTGCCCTCCCGAGGCTACGACACTTGTGAGGCGCCATTAAGACTTTTTCATCAACGCATGGTGAGGGGTCCGGCCCCGGCGATGACTGCCTGCCATAGCGGGGGGGTCAGAGAGCGCTGAAAATCCCCGCTCCCCACGCTGGGGTCCCCCCCCCCCTCTCGGTGTTTGCCATCGGGATTGGGGTTTCGTCGCTTGGCAAAGACGCTGTAAAACAAGCCGATTCACTTCGTGAGCTCGGCAACCGGGTTACCGCTTTTTGTTTTTCCTCTGTTTTTTTTTTTGTGGTAACCGTAGTGGTGGTCGAATAGATCATGTTGTGCGGGGTCGAGAACCCTCACTCCACGCAAGGGGGATTATCGCACCACGTTGTGTTAAAATGGTCAAGCATCCTCGAGGCAGTTACACAGTGCTTATAACTGTCTCTTGAAGTGAAAGCACCGGAAAATGAATCCCGTCATGCGCAGCTGTCATCCGCACTCAAGGAAGTAAGCACAAGATGCCGAACACCCTTAGCAGGATGCAGCGCACCCTTCATGGGACTCGCCGAACACCTCATGGCGCTTCGCGCTTGGTGATGTGAGAGCCTGGTCCGGTGAGAACCCGGCGTGCTCCGTCCCGGCTTGTAGGGATGCGAGGTCAATGGTCTAACGGCTACGGCACGCACGACTATGAGTACCCCCCCCCGGTAGGATAGACAGACTAGGGAAGACATTTTTGAGCCACCTTTGGCAAAGTAGAAAGGAACGATTGGCCATCGGTGATCGGTCCTGTGGGAACAATGCTCCGTCCTCTCGAGGACGCGTGGTCAATGGTCTAACCG